TATTGATTTTTAGAGAGAGAGAGGAAGGGGGCGAGAAAGAGAGAAAGAGAAACATGGACATGAGAGAGAAACATTGTTTGGTTTCCTCCTGTACATCCCCTGACTGGGATTTGAACCCGCAGCCTAGATATGTGCCCTGACTGAGAATCAAACCTTCAACCTTTTGGTGCGAGTGATGATGCTCCAGCCAACTGAGCTGGGCCATCCAGCCAGGGCTTATGATAGATTTTTAAATGTGTATTTCATTACTGAGTCAGAAGATGGTAAGTTTAAGGCTTTTGATACCTTTTGCAAAATTGTGTTCTGGAAGATTGTACATTCTTACCAAACTCCATCTCATCACACCCTTTTTAGCTGTGGGAATGATCATTTAAAATTTACTTAAAAATTGCTAATTTAATAGGTTAAAAATGGAAAAATCTCAGTTTCAATGACATCTGGTTTTCTTAAACAGTGGCATCAGAAGTGCACAGTCACATACCTCATAATCAAGGGTAAGACTGGACCACTAAGAGGGAGCTTCTCTGATATAGCCAGGTGCCTGGCACTCTCAGTCACTGCCTATTTTAGTATGATTCTCTCGGATGGGGTATAATTTAAGAGTGAATGTCAGCAGGCTACCCGGGAAGCTGGTTTTTAGCAAGCCAGAATGGGGGGTAACATTAATCCTAGGGACAAAAGAAATCTTTGGAGGCTGTTTTGAACAATTTTATACGTTTAGTGTAGCTGAGTCTTGCTGGGATGCCTCAGGGACAAACCGGCCAGCTTAGTTCATCAGTCAGGGACAGGAGCGCCTTTCAGTGCGGAGCCGGTCCGCGAGTCCCGGGTGGGCTTGCCAGAATGAACAAACCGCGGTCGCCCGTGGCAGAAAACTGTAGTGTGGCAGCAGCACCGGACCAGGTGTCAAAAGACCAGGGTTCAGGTTCCAGCTCTATCACAGAATAGCTATGAGATCGGGGCTCATCAGCCACCCTGCTTGTTTGTAACACCAGAGTACTGGCAGTAGCTCACAGACTTGTGAGCATTAAGACCTATGGGACCAGGATGGGTACCCTTTAAAATGCTAAGAAGATGTTGCCTGATCCAAATTAAAGAATGATTGTGGTGTGCATGGGATTGGTGTTTTCGATGGAAACTGCCCTGCCTCTGAGTTTCAGAGGACGTGTGTAGCAACTTGGCCATGAAACAGGGAGTTCTTGGACTCAGAGAGTCATTTGGGGCCCAGAATAATTGTCTTCTTTGAGGTCGCCTACCAAAGTTGTAGTCGAGTCAGGACTTGAACTTGAATCTCTAGCATTCTTTTCACCGTGTTGAATTTAATGCCACAGATATTGATACATTTTTTAGGTACATAGGATTGTGATAAATGCTGCAGGTTATTCTTAAAAAGTAAGCTGTAAAATCTTCAGAAATGACACTATTTTAATAATAATGTCATGATACAGAACATAAATGCTATGCAAACTGCAACTATAGTGTCCCGATATAGACTGAAAGTGCTTTACAGATTGGGCAGAGATCTGACTGACTGATTGGATTGAAATGGATGCTTTATGTAGTTTAAGGGAGGGTGTTTTGTTGAATTGACTCATAACAAAGAATTCAGGTTCTTTTCATTAATTTTTTTTTTAATTTCCAATTTTTAATTAGTAGAGCTGGATAGTTATTTAAACACGCTTTGGAACAGTTTTTCGAATGCTTCTTTGTTGACTTTGATATAGTCAGAAGCATAAAGATTATAGGTTTTTAGGATTAAAAATGTAAGAATCATAGGGGAACATAACACTTTATACCTTAAGTATTGTGTTCAGTTTCAAGAGCCACATTTTCAGAGACATGGGTAATCTGTAGCCTGTCAAGGACAAAACCATCTGGCTTGTGATGAAAGTAGAAATGCTGATTGTATTATTCAATCTGATTCAATAGTACTTATTGACTGTCTAACATAGTTTAGGTTCTAGCTAGGTGGTAAAAGGCTATGTAACTCGTAGTCCTGCCTTAAATCCAAATATTTAGTATATGTTCATTTGTTACATAATTTTTGCACTCTTTTTTAAAAATAAAATTAAACTTCTGACTTTGAGATGATTAGATTCACATGCAGTTACACAGAGAGATACTCAGTGCCCTTTACCCAGTTTCCCCTCATGGTAATATTTTGCAAAACAATCTTACAGCTAGGCTGTGAATACGAAACATTTAACAGTGGATGGTACAGCCACTCCGGAAAACAGTTCAGCAGCTTGCCTCGGAGTGCAGTTGCTTGGTCATATAGTGCTTGCATGCAACTTGGTATTTGCATATAGAGTAAACATGCTCTTGGTAGTTGCATGTTTAGTTTTTAAAGAAATGCTGTTTATATTGATATGATGAGGTGGAAGCATAGTCCCCGCAGTGGTCTTCAGGGACATCGTGGTCGCCTCGTTTTATCAGGCTGCTGGCATGAAAGCCTTGGCTCCTCTCCTTGGCCTTCCCTGCCTGCACTCTGGAGGGGGTGTTGGTGCCCCTGCAGAGAGGGGAGACTTCAGTTCCCCCCTCGATCTTTGCTGGGTTGGAGGTGTTGGGCCGAGGTGCTTTCTGTGGTGTTCAGCTGGAGCAGAGTGATCGTCTAAAAAGTTTCTGTCTTGCTAGGCGGCCTCTTTCCTGGTCCTTCGGCTAAATAAAGAGAACAGATTTTGCTGGGGGTGTTCTTGTCTGCACTCTTAGGCATTACTGGGTTGCTAGCCTTGCCACCTCCAGTTTTTAGAGATGTAAGTCAAAAAGAAAACTCAGGGAACTCGTCACTGCATTTTTCCTTGGTTCCCAAAGTCCCCAGGTTTTCTACCTTCATCTCCCACCTTTCAGATTCTTACGTTTGTTTCATATAGGTAATGTCCAGGGTTTTTATTTGTACTTAGTGGGAAGAATAGGGACAAGTAGGTCTTCTCCATCTTCCCAGAAGCAGAAGAGTTTTTATATAGTTGTTTTTAAGATGACATTTATTTTTCTGGCCATGAATGGAGTGGCTCAGTGGACTGAATGCCGCCGGCCTGTGAACCAAAGGGTCACTGCTTCAATTCCCAGTCAGGGCACATGCCTGAGTTGCCGGCCACCAGGTCCCCAGTAGCGGGGCACTCGAGAAGTAATCAGGCCTTGAGGTTTCTTTCCCTTTCTTTCTCCCTCCCTTCCCCTCCCTCTAAAGATAAAGAAATAAATCTTTCAAGAAATAAAATGATTTATTTTTCTATTTATAAGAATATAGGTTTAATGTAGAAAATCTAGAAAATACAAAAAGTATAAAAGAGAATAACAGTACTTTGAGATGTATTCTTTTAGCTATTTTTCATGAATTTGTATGCATTTAAGAATTGTTTACTATTTAAGAACTTCCCATTTCACTATATTGTAAGTATCGTTCTTTGTCAAGAAATACTTACATATGATACCATTTTTTTGTGATATCAAGGAGGTTGTACTGTGCACGTCCTGGAGGTCATTGGCATGTGCTGCTCCCCTAGTTGCAGCGCCTGAAGGGCAGTTCCTGTGTGAATAAAGGCTGTACTGTGTCACACGGGTCTCTGCTCAGAGCTGGCTTTCTCACTGAAGAAAGTGACAGGCAATCTAGATGTAGCCATTAGTTTCAGAAACGCTGGGGGTGTGGGTATGTATTTAGATTTTAAAGTTTAAAAATAAAAAGTATGCCCATGATTTACAAGTGCTAGTTTGATTAAAATTTTTGTTCATATTTTCCGTGCTATTGTAGGAAAGTCATTATAGTTTTCAGAAGAAAATCAGAGGTAATGATGGCTTTCTTGTTTGGCCTCGGAGGAAACAGGAGGTACCAGCAGTGTGTGTTTTGGGGAACCCTAGCATTAGTTTTCTGCTGGAATTTGCAAAACATAAGCTGGGAAGACTTAAATCTTTTGCCCCAGTACAGCTTTTTCTGATTACTATATAATATACTTTTAGATGTGCAGATTTATTGGGAGGTTTAGATTTCATAGATGGGATGTTGTTTTTTTTTAAGATATTATTTATTTATTTTTAGAGGTGGGGGGGAAGGGAGAAAGAGAGGGAGGCCCTGACCCAGCATTGAACCGGTGACCTTTCGCTTCGTGGGAGGGTGCCCCACGTACTGAGCCCCACCAGGCAAGGCGTAGATTGGTGTTCGTGATCCAGATTCACCAAACAGGTCTAGTTAAAAATTAATACTCAGTTTTTTCCACTTTGTGTAATCTTTTATTCACGATGTGAATAGCTGCAGTGTAAGTCAAATCAAAGCCAACACGGTAGCCCCCCTTTGCTGCAGCTCTGCTCTCCGTGGTTTCGGGTACCCGTGGTCAACCGCGGCTCGAAAATTTGAAACGGAAAACTCCACCTCACTCGATCTCATCATGTAGGCAGTGTGTCATCTCACATCAGCACGGGAAGGGTGCGCACAGCACAAGGTATTTTGAGAGAGACCACATTTACATGGCTTTTATTGCAATATATTAACTGATAAATAATCCTATAAAAATAAGGTTTAGAAAAATGGAAAAGTTACCAACTTACTGGTTTTCATATACTTTTACAAGCAGTTAGCCATTGAGAGGTGTTCAGCAAGCTGTATTTTCTTTTAAAAAAAAACAATGAAAAACAAATTTTTACAAAGTTATTTATTTTTTTTAAAAGATTATTTATTTATTTTTAGAGAGGGAAGGGAGGGAGGGAGAGAGACAGAGACAGAGACGGAGACAGAGACAGAGACATCAAGTGCGATTGCTGGCCTGCAGCCCAGGCATGTGCCCTGACTGGGAATCGACCTGCGATGCTTTGGTTTGCAGCCCGAGCTCAATCCACTGAGATACGCCAGCCAGGGCTATTTATTTATTTTTAGAGAAAATGGAAGGGAAGGAGGAAGAGAGGGAGAGAAACATCAATGTGTGGTTGCCCCTCACGTTCCCCCAACTGGGGACCTGGCCAGCAACCCAGGCATGTGTCCTGACTGGGAATTGAACCGACGACCCTTTGCTTTGCAGGACTGTGCTCAATCCACTGAACTATCCCACCCAGGGCCCAGTTAGATCCACTTTTGAAAATCTTCACAAAAGGTAATTGCTAAAAAAATAAAGGATAGCTCATTAAATAATAGAAAGCTTCACATACTTTAAAGTCATAATTTTGTAAAGTGTTGTACTTTGTATATTTGCATTTAAATTTTCAATGGTTTGTTGAATGTGTGCACATTGATTTTTTCTTGTATGGTTGCCATTTAATTATATCAGATTGCTTTTAAAATTTGTTTTTTTCTTACCCACTGTGTTTTATCCTCGTTCAAATCGATAGGGAGATGCAGGGTAGCTTGGATTCCTCAGGTAGATAAAGCACGAGTTAAACGGGTTACTGAGCGAAGCCACTGAATTCGGGGTGGTTTGTCACTTTCCCCATCTAACACAGCAAGTAGGGTTCCGGCCCGTACTAATTTCACGCTCACGGGAAGGTACGGAGACGCACCTGACGCTCCCGTGTCAGTGCAGCTCCACAGCCAGCCGCCTTTCTCTCTTCTCAGACTGTGGTCCAACTACGACTTCCGTGCTATTCATCCGAGGTCCCTTTTCTTTCCCCAGTTGCCCCGTTTCCTATTCTTAGGTGTTTCAGTAGGAGTGACTTGAGAGTTTCTTATGCTTGCTTATTTTATTAAGTAAATTGTAATCTGTGTATACTTGAACTTCGCATAAAAGGAATTCATATTTAGGAAGTGATGATTGTATCCCAAATATAATTTCCCCTGTGACTTGCCATCATTTTGGACAGCAGACGTGATAGGCTGCAGCGTAGAAGCACGCCCCTCACAGCTGTTGCAGTGCGTAGGTTTTACCCCCGAGCTCCTCACGTGCCTGTGATACTGAGTGCTTGCTTTGTGGGACCTCTGTTTCCGGACTGTATTCTGGGGGGAAAAAATCTTTATTTCTCTTTTCTAATTTTTTTCTTCTAAACTGCTGTGGCTTCTGGAACCAGATATTATTGTAGAATTAAGTTTAAAATGAGAACATTTTGAGGGTTTTTCCCCCCCAGGCAGGGGTTCTATGACATACCGAATTTTTCGGACTGTAAGACACACTGGACAGTAAGACACACCCAGGTTTTAGAGGAGGAAAATAGGGGAAAAATTTTTGAAGCAAAAAATGTGATAAAATAATAACTTAAATAACATAGCCCCCCCTCCCCCCCGCCCGTGAGCCAGGCAAGCTACATTCGGACTATAAGATTTGCCCCTATTTCCTCCCAAATTTGGGGGTGCATCTTACAGTCCAAAAAATAGGGTGCTTTTGGCTGATCTGAGACAGGCTTTTACTGGGCGTTTTCATTCAGTCCTTATAATAATCTTTTCTATGTAGACAATTTCCTTATCTACAGGTTGGGGCAAAGTAGGTTTACAGCCCTGGCTGGTGTGGCTCAGTGGATTGAATGTCGGCCTGCGAACCAAAGGGTCGCCGGGTCAATTCCCAGTCAGGGCACATGCCTGGGTTGCAGGCCAGATCCCCAGTGCGGGGTGCACAAGAGGCAGCCACATACTGATGTATCTCTCCCTCTCTTTCTCCCTCCCTTCCCCTCTGTCTAAAAATAAATAAATACAATCTTTAAAAAAAGGTTTACAGTTGTTCGTATGGAAAATAATACAATAATCAATCAATAGTCATACAAGAATAAACTCTTGTTTTTGTGTACTTTCAACTGTAAGCCTACTTTTGCCACATTCTGTATAAAGTTGGGGATGATAGAGGTTAGAGAAGATAAGGACCCAAAATTGCAGATCCAATAAAAAGATTCAAATCTAGATCCAACTATAATGTGTATGTTCTTTGCACAGTTCCATGAAGCCTTGCTTGGTAATTTCTTTCAGGATTTCTACTTGTTTTTTAAATACCAGATGTTGCCAAATATGTCATAACTCTTGAACTCCACGTGGTCAGTAGGCACAGCATCCAAAGCAAATGCATGGTGCAAATGCATGACATTGCAACACAGAGAGGGTGGTGGCTGGGTCCATCATCCTGTGGCCTTCCTGTGTCGCTGGGATGGGAGAGGGTCAGCGCCCCACGATCAGGTTACAGCTTCAGGAGCGGCTGTTTTAGTTTTAGAGTTAGTATTGTGTGCCATTTTCTTTGTTCTTGTCTTTTTCTTTCTCTTTCATCCTTTTCTTTTAGCTTTTGTGCTTTCCTTTCTCTCTGTTTTTAAGAGACAGGGAAATCAGAGATATGTTGTTCAAGAACCTGCGTTTTTTTCAAATACCTCCTATTTATGTAGCTGATGCAGCTTCACCAGGAGTTCCCTTTGTTATCAAGTTCAAGAGGGACCGCCATTCCAAGTGAAATTTTATCTTAAAGCGGATGCGGTGAAGACGGCACTGAGAAAACAACGCGAACGCTGACTGTTTCCGAGGAACCAGGGTTATGTGCTGTGTACTGTCATTGTGTCTGTCTGCGCTAAGTTCGTTTCCTTTTTAAAGCTTAGTTTAATTCTTCCTTTTTGGACTGTTATTTATGTTTCCTCGGTCGTGAAATTCATTTGCTCTTTTACAGGGTAGCCGTCTTCTGACTCCTGGTCAGTTGGGCCAGGCCACCTGTCCACGTGAATTCCTTCCTCACCCTACTCGGCCTTTGACACTGTGCTCTGGGCTACCGTGACTCCCCCCAACCCCGAACACGAACTCTGACTGCTTAGCCCTACCTAACAGCTTTAGACCGAATTTTGGCAAGGGGACAGGGGTCAGGTTTGATGTGTAGGGGGACAGCTAGGTGACTGTTCGGAGAGCTGGGTGGGAGACTGCGTCAGAGAGCTCTGCGAGGTTGGTGCGGCATCCGGGTGAGGGAGAGGGTTTGCACCACGACAGGTGGGGATTGGTAAGGAGGACCAGGCCCTCTCCGGTCATGCCGATGATATGGTTAATCACAGAGGTTGTCGTTACCGAACACTTACTGTGTGCTGGGTACAATAACCACTCCATAGATCTAACTGTCATTTAACTCTCGTAACAACTTCATGATTATTACAGGTCTTAACATTTTTATTTTACAGATGAGGAAACTGTGTCATGGAGAGATTCATAATTTACCCAACTTGGACAAGTTTGGCTAGCCGGACAGAGGAAAAGCCAGGGTGGGCAGTCAGGCAGTCTGATTCTAGAACCTGTAGTCTTGCCCATTGTGCTGGTTTGAGGGTTTATTTTTCCAGTCATCAGACTACCCTGTGAAGCCGCGTGCATCACTCGGTGGTCCTAGGCATCTGCATCCAGGTTCCACATACACTCTCTGGTTAGAGGACCCTGAAAGAGTTTTCCAAAGTTGCCGAGATTTTGTGATTTGAGCCCTGGCCAGGTGGCTCAGTTGATTAGAACTTCGTCCAGTGCAACTAAAGTTTGGGTTCAATTCCCAGTCAGGGCACATACCTAGGTTGCGTGTTTGATCCCGGGTCGGGGAATGTACAGGAGGCAGCTGATCGATGTTTCTCTCTCTCATCTATGCTTTTCTCTCTCTTCCTTTCTGTCCCTCTAAAACCAATAAACATATCCTTGGGTGAGGATTAAAAAAAAAGATTCTGTGATTTGATATACGGGGAGTCCTTCCCATGCATGGTTCTGATATGCATAAATTTCCTTTTCTGTGATTTAGTTAAATGACACTGTCCCCTAATAACATGTCTGAAAACTTACACAATATATTAGCTATGACTGGTCCCTGCACATTGCGAATTTCCTCTTCTGTTCCATTGATCTTTGTGCCTGCACTTATACTAGTACCACATTGTCTTGACTGCTGCTGTAGCTTGTAGTGTGTTTTGAAATTGGGAAGTGTGACCCCTCCAACTGTGTGTTCTGCTAATTTCAGTCTTAGTGTGCCTGTTCTGGCTGCTCTGAATTTCCATATTTTAGAATTAGCTAGTCAGTTTCTGCAAAGAAGCCAGCTGGGATTTTGATGGGATTGCATTGAATCCGTAGATGAGTTTGGGAAGTGTTAGCATCTTAACCATATTAGGTCTTCCCACCCGTGAACATGGGGTGTTTTCCAATTTAGATCTTTTCTTTCACCAGTGTTTTGTATTTCCCAGAATATAAACTTTGCACTTCTTTTGTTAAATTTTATTTCTAAGTATTCTTTTTGATGCTTTCATAACCAGAATTGTTTTCTTAATTTCATTTTTGGATTATTCATTGCAAGTATTTGGTGCTCTTCTTTTCTCTCTCTCTCTCCTCCATTTGGTGCTCTTTTCATATTGACTTTGTTGAATTTAAAACTTCCAGGAATCAAGGATCTTCTTATAATTACAGGAAAGGTTTGTAATTACAGGAAATGGAGGCCTGTATTGTAGGGGTGCTCTTGCAAAAGCTTTATTTCAGTGTTGGCCTTCAAGCATTTGTGGTGAGACTTTGAGCTATTAGTGATGGCTTTTTAGGCCACTTGTACTTAGGTGTTCCAAAATGGTGACACTTTTGTGGTCAGTGTGACTGGTTTTCAAAAGTCCTTTCATTCATATCATTTTTTTGTTCTCTTGGTGTGAAGAGCCAGAAGAGCCATAGTTAAGAAGAACAATAAGATTTTTGTGGTTTACCAAGTTGCATTAGAGGAAGTCTATAAAAGGATTGTTGAGCCAGCTTGCAGATTAAAAACCAATCTATTAGCAAGACAGGAACCTCTCTTTTTTTTTTCTTCAATATATTTTTTTAATCCTCACCCGAGGATATGTTTTTTAAATTGATTTTAAAGAGAGAGGAAGGTGGGGTGGGGGGGAGAGAGAGAGAAAGAAAGAAAGAAAGAAAGAAAGAAAGAAGCATCAATGCTCGAAACATTGATCAGTCTCGAACCTGCAACCTAGGCATGTGCTCTGACTGGGAATCAAACCTGCAGCCTTTGCTGTATGGGATGACGCTCCAGCCACCCTAGCCACTGGCCAGGGCAAGGCAGGAACTTCTTGCAGGTACTTTGGTTAACCTGTACTTTAGTGTAAGAAGTGTTGAAGCTCTGACTTTCATGATTAAATCTTAAATCATGTAGGCATGTTTCTAGTACGTATCTACATCAGAACTAGTTGGACTGTGTTGAAATGCAGATTC